AATCATATCTGTTATTAATCTCTGTCTCTCTTCCACAGCATGTCTTTATCCTGTTTTCCTCCTTTGTAAGATTTTTCTTGACGTATGTTCTAAGTTCTGTGTTAGCGTTGAGCCCGGTTTCCTTGGTTTCTCTGAGATTACATCCTTTATGCTTTTTGTCCTCGTCCCTGTGTTTCCTCGCTTCACGTTCCCGTGTTTCATTCATTCGTCTCCCCAGTCTGCCGTGTCTCCATGTCTGTTTCTTTCCCAGTTACTTCCTGTTTTTTTAAGGGTTTTTTTCCTTCCCACTGTTGCCAAAGCGCTGGCATACGATCATATGATTGTTGGGGTTGTCTGTTGTCTTTCAGTTACTTTAGGGTGTTTACCTTCCAACACAAAGCACCTTGAGGTAACAGTTGTGGTGATTTGGTTCTATATAAAGCTCTTTGGGTTTGTCACTAAAACATAAATTTGTCTCACCTTCCGGTCCAGAGACTCCAGATAAACCTTTCTGTCCTTTCTGACCTGGATCTCCTGGAGAAGCGATCATATTTCCTTGTGCACCTTTTTCACCTGAAACAAGAAACAGACTGTTAGCTTTGCGTCTGATCCCCCTCCTCTCAAATCCAGACTATTCCTGGGCAGATTTACCTTTTTGTCCAGGTTGTCCTCGCTCTCCATGGTCTCCCATGTTGCCTTTACTTCCTGGAGGCCCTGGCTCGCCAATACCAAGAGGTCCTGAAGGTCCCATTTGCCCTGTTGGTCCCCTGGGACCAGGGGACCCACACAAGCCCCCGTCTCCTTTTTGCCCCAGCGGTCCCTGAAGGAGAGAACAACAAACCATCTTCACAGAATCACACTCGACCCCAGAAACTGTTGAAACTTGATGGTTTCTTCCTAAAAGCCGCCATCAACAAGGCACTAACTTTGGCTCCATCTAGTGGTAGAATTTGAACATAACAACACAACATAAAGTGCCTTGAGGCAACAGTTGCTGTGAGTCGGCACTAAATAAATAAAATGTAAAAACATTATAAACAGCAGGTGTTTGCGCTCTGCGCTGTGGTTAAGGCTCTGGATTTTAGAACAAATGTTATACCGTCTGTAATAAGCTGATCAAAGACGACTAATCCAAATTTACTGACTTGTACCAAACTGTGGGCTCTCCCCTCACACCACAAAGAGCCTTTTTGCCAGCTAGCAGCCTAAATACAACAAATGTTATTGGTTCTGCCATCTTTACACACCAATACTCAAAGTCAGAATAACGTGTTATTATAAAATAGTATTTCAAGTAAAACTAGATGAGGGTGGAGGGCTATATTCTCCCTCATGCAACGTGCAGGAAGGACGTCTGTGTTGTAGTTCGGGATCTAACTTTATGATTTTAGGAATCCCTCTGTGAATGTGGAACAAAGAGAATCATAGTCAGACGCAGTCTTATTATCAGTTCAGTTGGTTAACTGATACATCATTTTGTAATATATAGCAAAGCAGTACTGTGCAAAAGTCTTGAGTCACTCCCTGTTTTTTTCCTTGTTTTTGCAGGAAAATGGAAAATACATGCAGAGATTTATTGAATTGTGCAAACATACAAAAAATTCCAATATATTAGACAAAAACTGAATTTGTAGAGTTGAAACGAGCTTGAAAGTGAATATTAGTTATGACGGCCTTTGTTCTTCAGCAGTCTGAACTCTAAGAAGCGAGGCTGCGATATCGCGCCGTCGGCCCCTCTGGCCAGCACCAGTAGGCGGCAGGTGAACGACCAGGACAGACAGACAGAGCTGGGGATTGAACTGGTTACAAGATGAGCTTCCCAAGCCCCTGAACCACGGTCGCCCCAATAGTTCTCCAGGCTTCTTGAAGGACATTCTCACATCTTTGGATGTTTCTGCCTTTTGTTTGGTTCTCTGTCTGGATGAGCCCACGCTGCTTCAATGATGCTGAGGTCCGGGCTCTGGGGAGGCCGATCCATGTCTTGTTGAATCAGCTTGCTGTGATTTGGGATCATTGACGTGCTGAACAATGAAGCTGTGGCCATAAAGATGGTTCAGATGGGATTTTGTGGTGAATCGAAACTTGATGGTGTCCCAGCTGGGCAGCAGTCGTGTGGTGGAATGAAAGAGGACCCAAAATGCAGATGGCAGTGGAGATGCAGGTGGAGATTTATTTAAGGTGAAAAACCCAAGGTGAGGGCAGAACTAAACATAAACCTAAACTGGTGAAACTAACACAAACAGAGGACACAAAGCGAGGAACAGAGAGACACGGAGACATACCAAAATGATGCAGAGAAATGCAGACAACGTGACGAGGAGCACAGGCAGACACGCAGTATAAATACACACACCAGGTAATCAGGAAATGGCACACAGGAGGGGACACAGCTGGAACTAATGGGCATAACGAGACACAGACCTACAAAGTAAAACAGGAAACTCACAGACTGTTTCACAATACCAACTGGGGACACGAACAGAACACAGAGGAAGGACACAGGTAGGGATGATAGAAACACTAAACACACAACTCAAACCATAAGAACAAATACAAAACAGCAGAAACTAGAAAATAATTACAATAAACAAAACACTGGGTCAACAACCCAGGACCATGACAGATGGTACTTTTCTGGACTCATAATTTCATCAAAACCTCCAACACGACTGGCTGAAAATCAGCACCAAATCCTGACGGATGTCCACTGTTGCGCCTCTCCAGACCTGCTCTGTACAGGTGATGATGATTTGGATTCATGGTTTTCAGTCCAGTTCTCGTGACATTTTCATTTGTCAGAGTTAAGAGGCTTACAGAGACAAACATTCCTTTAAAAATGGTGATACAAAGCCGGTGAACTTTAAAACGTACAAGTCTGAATCCTTGCAAAGAAAATTTAAAAAAAATGAGACTTGAGGCACAAGACTTTTGCACAGTACTGCTTTTTTTATTTTTTAAGTTGATTTGTAAAGCTTGCACATCTGATCCACACAAAGTAAACTCCCTCAGTTACTTACAGTACTGAGTAAATACATTCAAGTCTGCGGCAGACTGAAGAAAACCGTGATTACTCACATCGTCTCCTTTTGCTCCCTGAAGACCTTTTGATCCTTGAACTCCTGGAGGTCCATCACTTCCCTGGGATCCCAGTTGTCCCGGATCTCCCTGTGATCCCTCCTCACCCTTCTGCCCAACCCTCGTCACGATGCCTGGGTCACCAGGAGGTCCTGGGAACCCCCGGTAGCCAGGGAACCCCAGTGAACCCTGATAACAAGTTCAAACAGTGTGTGAAACTGACTCACACTTACTCAAAATTACAGGATCTACTGACAACAGTCAAAGTTTGAGGGTCCCAGAAGGTTTGGGTTCAGCCCATATGAGGGGATGAAATCCAACAGTAGACGCTGAGGCGATGTTTCACTCACCTGTGGACCAGGTTGTCCTCCAGGACCTTTCACTCCTTGGCCACCTTTAAATCCAGGAAAACCAGCTGAGCCTGGAACCAGAACGACATCACGGAGGTAGACCGTTAAGATCCAGGTGAGTTATTTATGACATTATAATGTATTTAAAATATCATCGTTTTCATTGTGTGGCAGCGAGGATTATATCAAACAACTAAAAACTTTCATCTTTTAACTTGGCTAACACAGGTGCTGCTGTTCTTACCTGGCAGCCCGATATCACCTTTCTCTCCTTTTGTGCCTGGGGGTCCAGGCTCAGTGGAATTAACAGGACAGGTAAAACACATCTGCCCCTTCTCACCTAGCAAACACCAAGCAGTCGGTTTTTAAAGGAATCATCACAAACGCACCAGGAAGTCCAACTTCTTAGAAAATAAAAAACTGTAGTATGGAAAATATTTCTGGATTTTATTTAAACAGGTTTATTGTATCAGTCGTAATGAAGCTGTGATGAGTTTATTTTGTGGTTGGCTTTGTCTCAACATAAACAGTTTGACACCCTTGATGTCTTTGGTTTGGCTCAGCTGTACTGAAAGAGCTTTCTCAAGTTTTATTTTGGTTCTTCAACAATCAAACATCTCGTTCCCACCTCCATGTAGAAGTTCTTTGCATTAAACCCTGATGCGAAACACGTGTCCACATCGGGCCAAACAAACATGACGTTTATATCACATGACGCACAACTCCAGCTCTCTCACCCTTCTGTCCTCTCGTGCCTTTTTCTCCAAGAGGTCCCATCGAGCCCTTCAAACCTTTAGGTCCTGGCAGTCCTGTGCCTCCCTCGAGGTAGTCTGGCAGTTACAAGAGACACGTTAAATCAGATGGACTTTCAGCTGCGGTTCAGTAATGTACTCTTTTAATTTCTCGTCTTTATTCTCTTTAAGCTTCAAAGACAAACGTCAGAGGGTCCGGGATGCTTCCCTGAGGGACACCACATGTTTAAAATGAAACATCACCTGGTATTCCTGGTTCTCCGGGCTCTCCGATAGCACCCTGAGGTCCTGGCTTTCCAGTCAGGCCTGTGGGGCCAGCAGTGGAGGGGCCCTCTTCTCCTCTGTCTCCTTTTGGTCCAAATGATCCAGGTGGTCCCTGCATCCCCGGAGGACCAGGCAAAGGAACACCTGGAGTGAAGGATGGCAGACTGTCACCAAAGAACAGCTTCTGATAACCTTGAATATTATAAATTATTATATAATTTATATTTCTTTGCGCCTGAGTAAAGTGTCAGCCTTTAAAAAGGCTTTTATTTTGGAAACGGGCACCAGCAGCTATTTTTTTCAGCTGCAGCTAAACAGACGATATCAGACAAGACTGATGAAAACTGAATAAACTTTCATTTTATATATATAATAGATAATAATAATAATAATATATGTTACCCACCAAATGAAGTCTCATGGTTTCTCTGAAACCTTTTTCATTTTGATCAAAACATTCAAAACAATCAGTAATCGAATAAAGTTGCAGGAAATCTGGTGGATGTTGGGTGTAATCCTACAGTTTAGCCAGCTTGAACTGTTACTTTCACCATCAGCCATATTTGGCAGCACAGGCCTGTTTTGGAGGGAGCGAGACCTCAGCAGAGCAGCTGTAGCCGGACTAACGCAGCTTAAATACAAAGGTGGTCTCTGATTAACACCATGATGGATTACATGAGGGACAGAGAGAGAGAATAATCAGACTTTACCGGGCTCGCCCTTTTCTCCAGGTAAACCGATGTATCCTGAAACAGGTGAGAGAAAAAGTCTGAAATGATAGCGGCATGAACCTCTCAATGTAATCTGATTACAAACACAACTCAGGTCGTTGCTTCGACGTTCACAGAATATAAGTATATAACATACAGTATAATATATATAATATTTCATAAGTAAAAAATTACTTGGGAAATTAAATTCACCTTGTAGTCCAGAAGCTCCTAGGGGCCCCCGGAGCCCGGGAAAACCAGGCTGGCCTTTCAGATAAATCCTCTTCCACACCATCTGGTTTGTAAAAAAGTTAAAAGTAACACAAATACAGGTTATGGATTCAAAACCAAGCATCAACCTTCAGGGCTGAAAAGTCTGAAAACCTGCAGTTCCTCTAATGTCCAGTTGAGACTGACTCCAAAATGGAGCCAGTCCTCATGGACTCAAGACTTAGTGCTTCACAGGCCCCGCCCCCCTTAGCAAGAAGGACCCCCCACCCCCGCGACTTGAAATAGTATCATTTCTCTATTGAATTGTTATTTTAAGTACATCTCTGCATGACATTGTTTCCTCATTTTTTAAGAAAACAAAAAAGAAAAACTGATCAACTTAAAACAAACTGTACCTTTATTAGAAGTGCACGTACTAGTACTGCAGCTCTCTAAACTACATTTAACGTGCATCAGTTTGTCAGTGAAGCCGAGCTCTGCACATGCATCATCACACCGGCGTCGCACCTGTGGGGGTGGAGGGGGTGGCTGCCCCACTATTTGAGAAGGACTGCACTAACTTTAGAAGATCTGGCAACTGTTCCTGTGATACTGTACAAAGGAAAGAGACTCACATCTCCCGGAGTGCCCGGAGGACCACGGTCACCTTTCTCTCCCTGGAAACATAAACAGTACCGTAAAATGACAGCGCGCTGGCTGCAGTAATGCAGTAATGCAGTAATGCATGCTGTGTCTTATCCAGTACTCACCATGTCTCCATCAATACCTGGAGGTCCGAGAAACCCAGGATCTCCGGGGTCTCCCTGTAGACATACAGATTTAAACACAGATATATAAACTTAAATGTTTTTATAAGTGAAAGTTCTGATGTCTTTTATCATGACAAGTCCAACAAACTAACTAGAGCTGGTAGATAAAGGGACAGGGTTAGCATGGTGGCGGTAGCATCACGCTGTGGGCTGTTTGCTGCCAGTGCTTCTGGTTCACTGCACACACTGGATGGTATAATGAAGGAGGAGGCCTTCCTGTTTTATTTTGATAGAGCTGGTCCGGAGGCCAGCCGTGCGGAAGGCAGCGCCGATGACGATGACAGAGCTGGCCCGGAGGCCACCCACGACGGCAATGACGCCCAGCCAGTGGCCTGGAAAGTGGCCGGTGATGTCAAGGTAAGGCCGGCCGTGCTAGGTGTGGACGAGGAAGTGGGCCGGACCAGACGAGGCCGGACCAGACCCCAGACGGCAGCGTGGCAGCTGCAGAACCAGGCGAAGCTGAAGCTGACGCTGCAGGCGTGGATGAAGACACAGAGGCTGGACCAGGTGAGGATGAAGATGACGGCGTGGCAGCTGCAGATGGTAACACTGCAGGTGACGGCTGAACGGGCCCCTCGGACTCCCTAGCGGACACGAGGAAGATCTGGCCGGGTTCTCCAGAACCCCCAGCAAACGAGGTAGATGGCGGCGCGGGAGCCGCAGAGTGCTGGATCTGCTCACTCGAGCCTCCAGCAGGAGCAGATGCAGGGCCAGAGGGTGTGGGGACCCCTGGCTGAACATGTACCTGACCAGGTGGGTGAATATGTAACAGACTAGGGACTGAACTGGCGGCCGTTGTAACGGTTGTGGTGAGAGTGGAGCTGGTGGTGGAGTAGATGACTGAGCTAGCGACGACGGAGCTAATGGTTCAGGTGCAAATGTCGCTGCTGATGACAGAACCAATGGCTGAGCTTCAGGGAGAGGGGACACTGAAGACGGAGCTATGGGTGGCGGGGATAAGGGCTGTGCTGCGGGCAGCAGTGACGATTGTGGTGGAGGTGTAACGGGTGGAGGAGTGGCTGAACTGGCTGCGGGTCGGGCAGCTAATGGCTCAGCTACAGAGTGCATTAATGGCAGGGCTACAGGTTGAATGACTGAGCAGCAGCCTGAATGGCTGAGTGTAGTGATGGTTGTGGTGGAAGTGAAGCAGGTGGTAGTGTGGACATTGCAGAGGCCTTATTGACAGTATTTGGCTGGTATTTTAAGTGGGCGGGTTGTTACCTGTTCTTCAAACTCTCCACGGAGTCCATCCTTCCCTGGTTTACCCTGAAACACAAACATGTTCCAGGTTTTAGATAAAGAAATGTGACTTAAAATTGAAGACGGGACTACATGTCTTTGTTGTTCTTACCAGGGAGCCAGTGTCACCTTTCTCCCCCTTCTCTCCTTTAATCCCCAACCTCCCCGGTTTACCCTGGAGGAGAAAACAAAAGCGCTCATCACTTAAAAATAAAAATTCAAATTTCTTTGGCTTAAAAAAAGTTTATGATTAGCCCAGGCCAACAATTTGACACTTACGCGACGACCAGGACAACCTTTTTCTCCACTGTCACCTGGTTCTCCCTGTAAAACAAAAGCACATCAGAGAAACCCAAGAGAAACTGACAAAGTGACAGACAGACCCAAAGACCGACTGACAGACCCACAGACCGACTGACAGACCTTCAGCTCTTTGGGTCCCTCGGCATACAGTTTGATTCCTTTTGGCCCAGGAACTCCTAGAGGTCCCCGGTCACCCTAAAACCAAACACAGCTGATGGTGGTGAAGGTGAAAGGGATGGTGATGAAGATGATGGCGTTTCACAGGTTAGACAGTATAAAATCAGAGCATGTCGTAGTTTGTAAACACAGACCATACTCCTATCCCCACCTTCTGTCCTTGTGGACCTGGGATCACTGGACTGGGACCTTCCTGACCCTGAACCAACAACAGAGACAGAAGTTACTTTATGGTTTCCATGTTAACGTATGACTGGTGCTGTCACATGAACCAGCAGCAAATCCTGACGTCAAGCCAAGTGTGTAAGAATCGTTTTCCTGAATCAGAAACTGCTCCCAGTTCAGGTTACCGTTACCCCACTAACCTTTTCTCCTCTCAACCCTGGAAGACCTGGAATTCCCTGGAAAAAAAACGAGATGTCAGCTCACTGAACTACTGAGCGCAGTTAATGTTTGAATAAGGTGGATGTTCAAAGCATACAGGAAATCCAACGAATCCTGGTGATCCTGTCACGCCGGGTTCACCTGGATCCCCACTGAGCCCCTGGAACACAAACAGTTCCGTAGCCAATCAGAGCAAACTTCATACCAGCTGATCTGATGATGATGCTCATGATAGAAAGCATCTTAAGATTGAACAGTCTGTGAACCATTCAGCGTTCAACTGATTAGACTGTTCAAAATGATCAACCAAAGCAGGGCTGCCGAAGGGTTAACTGATGGCATGACCACAGCTGGACTGGCCATCAGGCATACCAGGCATTTGCTCGCTGGGTCGACGGTGATTTTTCGTTTTTATGGGCCGATGACTTTTTTTATTTTTTGGTAACGGTATAAACAATGAGAGGTGGTGGATTGTCCAGATGCTGGCTGGTGTGTAA